AGTTAGGGTGTTTTATATGTATTTTATAAGTGTTTTATGTTAAAAATAAAATTTTAAATAAAAACTTTAATTTTAATTTTTTAACTATTATAATAGCTAAAATCTTGACAAATCAAACAATATATTATTTAATTTTAAGAAATTAGAATAAATAACATATTATTCATCAAATTATATACAAAATCAATAAAGGGTCAAATCAGAGAGGCTTGTTAGGACAAGCCTACTCATGGACCCAGACTAAATAAGCCAGGTGGACTAGCCTGTCAGCCGAGCATCATCTAATTTATAATTTTTTTCATCCAATTTTTTTCTATTTTATTTAAATTAATAATTTTTTATTGTTTTTTTCTAATTTTCTAATTTATATTTAAATTAGTACTTTTGTTTTCTTTTATTTTTTTTAAAGATTTTCTTTTAAATAAAAATTATATTTTTAGTTATACATTTAAATTTAAAGAGTTTTTATATTTATTTATATTTTTTTAAATTTTTTATATGGATGAACTTTATTTTTAAAATAAAAAAAATATTATTTTCAGATAATATTTATGCATCATTTCATGATTTTTTTCTTTTTTTATTTGATTAATTTAATTTATTTCTATTTTTATTATTATTTTTTAAAATTTAAATTAAAAAATTTATTTTAATAAATAAATTTAGCAACCACAATTAAATAAATATCTCATCTTTCAAGATTTAAATATCTTGATCTACAATTATCTCTTGATTTTTTAAGTTTTATTTTATTACTTTTTATTTATTTATTGAAATATATATATATATATATATATATATATATTAATTCATTTAATTATATGTATGCAAAAAAAATTATTAGAAATGAATTAAAAAATATTTTCATAAAAAAATAAAAATATCTCACGTAACTAATAGGAATACTATAAATTGAATTGGGTTGTTCTATTTGTTCAAAATATTATTTGTGAATTTTAAATGTGACGGTGTCGTATTGGAACCGATGGTAGACCTGGATCGTGGGGAAGTGGATCACACCAGGGGAGCAAAGTTGGGCCCCGACAGGAACACATTTCCATCAATTTGTGGTGCCCCCCATTTTGTCCTTCAGAAGAGACTGCACTTACGGTGATCTTGCTGCCATGAGACTACCTGATGAAGTTCAAGGGCTTGGAAATTGCGAGGTAAAATCCTTCTTCCATTTTTTATTTACATGATGTTTAAGGTTTTGAAAATTACAAATAAAAAATTATTTTAATATATTTTTCAATAAAAAATTTATTAAAAAAATTGCTAATACTCTTCTGAATACTTTCTCAATTACTGATCACTATAGATCTAAAGGAATTAAAAAAAAAAACTCGTAAAATATAAATTTTGAATTAAAACAGGATTCCATGTTGATTGTCTATGGATTGAAAAATCTCGTAAAGAAAAACAAGCGATGATGAGCTAACTTGCTAAAAGTGAGATATGGGTGGGAGTGGTTTTTTTTTGTTTGATTTAATTTTTAACTAAAAAATAATTAAATTAATTTTTTTTTAAAAAAATCAAAACTAGTTTAAACTGACTAGTTTTGATTCGGTTATTTTAGAAGCAAAAACTAAAACCCAATAAATTGACTTGGATTTTTTGTTTGGTTTGATTTTTTTGGTTTATCTTGGTTTTTTCTGGTTTAACTCGGTTATTAATTTCAGTTCGGTTAGGTTAGGTTTTCAGATATAGATTTAAAAAACCAAATTGAACCTGTTGGTTTATTTTAATATTTTAATTTATTTTTTTTTAAGGTTTTGTTCTTTTATTTTAGTTTTCTAATTTTTTCAACTTATTAGTTTTTTAAATTTTTTATTCACCCCTGAGTCCCTGTACGGATTAACTAGTTTATGTTTGTTTTGGTTGGTGTTTTAACAGTACACCATGGACAGAGGAGTAGTCCACGCATGCCATGCAGGCGGGGTGGTTCACCTGCTGGAAGGCTGGGCTCACCATGAAGTTGGGGCCATTGATGTTGACAGAATCGATCTGGTTTGGAATGCTGCATTGAAGCATGGCTTGAAACCGGTCTCCAATGGTGTCCCCAGACAAAATTCAATGTGAATGCATGCCTTCTTGCGAAGAAACAAAGGATTTGCTCGCAACAACAAATATTCCTTTGTTTTCTTTACATTAAATTTAACTGTAACAAACGAAAGTTGTTTCAAGTTGCAATTCAAATGCGATATATTGTGACATATATATATGTCCCACCAGAGATTCTTCAATGAGAGTACCCAGGAACTCTACCATTATCTTATTCTTCTTCTAGTGGAGGTTTTATATATGCACGCATGTTTTGTGTTTTGTAGTAGGTAAATAATAATTTTTATTTTAAATATAAGAAAAATATAAAGTATAATTTTAAGTGTTTTGGATTTGACTTTTTAGTTTGTCATTATATCAAATGATACAAAACACCAAAAAAAAAAATTAATTTGAAGTAAAGAAAAAAATAAAAAAATTATTTTTGAAATGCAAAAACAAACATATTTTAATAATGAAACTTAACTTGAACTAACAAAAAAATTATCATTACCAAACTTTTATACAATATAAAAAAAATCACATCAATTTATTTATTATTACAGTGTGAAAAAAATGAATAAAAAAAAGATAAAAAAATCTGAAGAGATAGAAAAAAATCTGGT